CGCTAACCCTCTCTGCTGCTGTCTCTCCTCCAGCCCCCCACATCTGCCAGCCAATCACCAGCCTCCTTCTTCAGGCTTCTGACTGCTTGGAGCACTGCAGGAAGTTGCTGGTCAGCCCCCCCGCTCTGGCTCCGCCCCCAGAGCTGGCCCAGCTGACCAACCAGCTGCTGCTGCTCGCCCAGCAGGCCCGCCGCTGCTGCCTGAGCCTCGCCGGCCGCCTCGCCAGCCTGCTGTCCGGCTCCCAGCCCCCTGAGCAGCCCGCGGACCCCTAGAGACCCACTAGAGACTAACTTCAGACCACCTAGACCCCTTGGAGACCCCCTAGACGCTCTAGAGACCTCCTACAACCCCAATAGAGACCCCCTAGAGACACACTAGAGACCTCGTACAACCCACTAGAGACCCCCTAGAGACCTCTTACAACCCCTAGAGACGCACCAGAGACCCCCTAGAGACCCCCTATTGACCTCTTACAACCCCCCAGAGACCCCCTATAGACCCCCAAGAGACACCCTAAACCCCGTAGAGTCCTCTTGCAACCTCTAGAGACGCCCTAAACCCCCTAGACACCTCTTAGATCCCCTGGAGACCTCTTACAACCCTTACAGACCCCCTAGAAACCCCCTAGACACCTCCTAGAACCCCTGGAAACCTCTTAAAACCCCTACAGACCCCCTAGAGACACCCTAAACTCCCCAGAGACCCCCTGGGACCCCCCAGCTCTGAGCCCGCTCTGAAGTGCCAAACCCAGCTGGCGCCTTGCAGCCGCCGCTGGCTTTTCCTTTGCTAGCAGATGAGCGTTAGCCGCCTTTTCGTGCTGGTCCTCATTGGTCCTCAGGCCTCAGGCCCTGGGTGGGCGGAGCCTGGCGGCGCCATGCCGAAAGCAGTCTGGATCTGTTTGTTCTGAGCAAAAAAAAAACTAAATGTGCTGATTGTCGTGTTAAAGAAGACACTGAAACAGCCGGAGCCACAAAAGCTGGAATTCCAGGCATATTTGAATGAAAATGACAACTTTTGGGGGGTTTTGGGGTAAATATGAAGTGTCTCATCTGTGATGCTGGATGTTTTTAACACGTTTACAGATTCCGACCAAAGTTTCTCCGAAAAATAAACTTTTTACAGGCTTAACAATAAAGGCCACATGTTTTATGGTGTCTGATTGAAACTCCATGAAAAAACCTTTCAGCCAGCTAGCAGCTTAGCTAACATCACTCCCCAGCTGCCACCGCCCCTCCGCTAAGCCCGCCCCCCGCTAAGCCCCGCCCCCTGCTGGCTGGGTGCAGCTCCATCAGCCTCCACGAAGTCCACAAAGTTTAAAGGCAGTAATTAAAGCAAACTGATCAATCAGCATTTCTGCTAGCTGGTCTGTTAGCATGGCTGCTAGCATCTGCTGCTAGCTGATAGATAGCTGGTCTGTTAGCATGGCTGCTAGCTGGTCTGTTAGCATGGCTGCTAGCATCTGCTGCTAGCTGATAGATAGCTGCTCTGTTACCTTGGAACTAGCATTTTCTGCTAGTTCCTCTCACATTGACCTGGTTCTCAGTTCTGGTTCTGGTTTTCCACAGAAACCTCCTGAAAAATCCCTTAAACTCATCTTTTGCTGGTCATCTTTTGTGAACGTTTTGCTGGAAAAAGACAAAAAAACGTTTGGGGAAATAAAACCTTACCTTTATTTTTGGTTTACATGTAGAATCTGTTATTTGAAGCCAAGTATTTAAAGGAAAAATCTGAAACTGACTGTAAAAATCATACAATTCTGTAAAACTTCCATTAAAACTGAGCATGTTTCTGCTATAAAACCTGTCCATGGTTTTAAACTCTCATGGAAACTGGAATCCAAAATTGTGAGTTTTCTGACAGCTGGGAAGCTAATTAGGACGTTTTTAGAAAAAATATTTTTTCTTACAGCAGAGCAACGGTAACTCAGCTCAGTGCGTTTCCATTGGCTCAAACCGGACAGATCTAAATGATTTTCCCCCAAACTGAATTCAGGTCACAGAGGCCGGCTGCAGGCTGGAGGAGGAAACATTTACAGGATGGTTCAGTGGCTTTTTAAGCTGCAGTTGTTCATTTTAACTGAGCGCGTTCAGGATGCTAAAATAAAAAAGATTCACCTTCGAATATTTTATTTGAGAGAATCTAGTTTCCTGTGTACGTGTTGGCTTATTGACGAGCAGTGGGGATGAAGGAGCAGCTCTGGAGGCTGAGGGGCGCCGCTAGCTTGCTCTGGCGCAAGCTTGCTCTGGCGCTAGCTAGCTCTGGCGCTAGCTAGCTCTGGCGCTAGCTAGCTCTGGTGCAACGTTTTCTGTGGTCTGGTCCCCAGAGGGCGGCCGGACGCCAGGCCTGGATGTGGGGAAAGGACACAGCCTGAACATCCCGCAGATTATCACCACCGCAGAGCTCAGGTGGGTCCCAGAGTCC